TCCGGTAAGGCTGCTCAGGCGGACTAGCTCTGGGTAACGCGAGTAATAGTCAACCACTATCAGCCACCACTGACCACTGAGGTAAAAGAGGTCCATTCCCACCTGTCGCCATGGTCTTTCAGGGAACTCCACTGGCTTCAGTGGCATTTGTCTGTTTCGGCTGTGTTTTAGGCAGATGTGGCACTTTTTAACAAGATTTTCCACGTCTGCGTCGATGTTGGGCCACCATACAGAACTTCTGGCTCTTGCTCGGCTTTTTTCTATGCCGAAATGTCCTTCATGAAGTTGGACAAGGACTGACTTTCGGAATCTTTGAGGAATGAGGATCCTGGTTCCGCACATCAGGACGTCTTTGCCCATAGCAATGTCGGATCTGTGAATCCAATAGTCTTTAAGGTCGGCTCCTATATCTCGGCGACTTGGCCATCCAATCGCGCGAAATTTGCTGATACGTTGGCATTCCTTGTCCACTTTCTGCTCAGCAGAGGTTTGCTTAAGGCTTGGCGGAGTCACCGGCAGAGATGACGTCACGTGGTCTACGAAGCCTCGGATCTCCTCGGCGAGCTCGGTCGTTCCAGGCCGTTGAACTGGAGACCTAGACAGGGCGTCAGCCGCGGTGAGATCCTTTCCTGGAACGTAGGGAATGGTATAGGTGTATCTCATGAGACGCATTCGCATCCTCTGGAGCCGTGGCGTTAAGTCGTCGAGTGCTTTGGATCCGAAAATTGAAACCAGGGGTTTGTGGTCAGTTTCGAGTTAGAAACTTCTCCCAATCAGGAAATCTCGGAACTTTTCACATGCCCGAACTAGGGCGAGGCCTTCCTTTTCAATTTTCACGTAGCGGCGCTCGGTGTCGGTAAGGACTCTGGATGCATACGCGACGACCTTGAAGTGTCCGTATTCCTGCTTTCGTCTCAGGACGGCACCAAGGCCGTACAACGACGCGTCAGCCGTGAGAACTGTCTGTTTGTTGGGGTCGTAGATGCCGAGTACAGGATCCGATGACAGGAAAGCCTTCCACTTTTTGAAGGCTTCTTCTTGGGGGCTTTCCCAGACGAAGTTCTGCTTCGACGACATCATTGACGACAATGGCCGCAACACTTCGGCCATGTTGGGCACAAATCTTGCTAGATATGTGGCCATCCCCATCACGCGCCTCAGCCCTTTTTTAGAGGTAGGGTGGGGCATCTCGGCAATAGCACGAAGTTTTTCCCTGTCGGGCCGCACCTCGTCGTTTTCAAGGATGTGCCCCAAAAACGATATGCTGCGCTTGTGAACTCGCATTTGTCCTTGTTCAGGGTAACTCCGGCTGCTCTGAGACGATCCATCACTTGTCGTAGTCGTTGGTCGTGCTGCTGTCTTGTCGACCCCCAGATGAGTACATCATCCATGTGGCAGACGACTCCATCCAGACCTTCCAGGATCTGAGCCATGCGTCGCTGGAAGTGTTCGGGGGCGGAAGAGATGCCAAACGGCAAACGGTTAAAGCAGAAGCGTCCGAATGGCGTGATGAACGTAGTCAGGAGCTTGGTGCTTTCGCTGATTGGGATTTGCCAGAACCCAGAATTTGCGTCTATCTTAGAGAACATATTTGCACCTTGTAGCATACCCAGAGTGTGTTCCACGGCAGGTATTGGATGCCATTCTCGCAGTATGTACCTGTTTAGTTCTGTGAAGTCCACGCAAATGCGGAGCGCCCCAGATGATTTTGGCACAACCACCATTGGCGCGCACCAAGATGTTGGCTCCGTTACTGGTGATATCACTCCTTCGTTCTGCATGCGTCGAAGTTCCTGCTTTGTTTTCTCGTACAACGGCAGGGGTACCCTCCGAGGAGACGTCAGCGCGAAAGGCTTACCTTCTGGCTGTAGCTTGACGTCGTATTCATCTTTCAAGGTTCCTAGACCTTGGAAGAGGTCAGGGTACTCGGATTCGACGCTTCCTTTTTCGATAACGCCGATGCGTGCAGCGAGATATAGTCACTGTGGACTAGCAGGACAAAGAGGGTTTATCTTACACTAAGGTCAGCAACGTATGTACAAAAAGAACACCAACCAGTCCGCCATGCCAAGCCATGCACAAGCCCGCGAGTCTCACCGCGCGTGAACAACCTCGACGTCTTTTTTCTTACGCGTGTGAACTCCGACATGCTATATCCAACACCTGCCAAAAGGTGCTCTCAAACCATGGGTAAGACCGGAATTATTGTGTAAAATTAAAGAAAAGAATCCATTATATAACCGTTATAGATGGCGTAACGTTGACTGGCAGTCCTTTAGCAAACGTGTTGAATGATTTTTTTTTTGTTAACCAAGGCAATATTGCTATCGGCCGCAATCCATGTAGATATATTGATGAAAGAAACGTCAGTTCTATATTCCATGAGCAAGTTGTTCCCCCGGAAGTTATATTTCAAACAATGCTATTAAAAAACAGTAGTTCTACTGACGCTGACAATATTCAGATCCGGCCGGTTAGATATGTCATAAATCTTCTCGCTCCACCACAAACACATCTTTTAGTACTGTTGTCGACACAGGTGTATTCCCCAAAAAAGGCAATTAGCCAAAAAAGGCGTAACAAATGCATAGGAAATTATCGTCCTATTTCTATTTTACCTGTCTTTTCTAAGGTTTTCGAAAAAAATATTTCATAACCGATTAATTTCATTTTCTTATAGGCATGGCCTGCTGAACGCCGCACAATTCGGTTTTAGAAAATATCTTTCCCCAGAAACAGCACTTTTAGTACAGAAATAATTTATTCTTGAAAACTTTGAGAATAGAGAGCTAGTTTTAGGAGTATTTAGAGATGTCACAAAAGCCTTTGATTGTTTAAACCCATAATATCCTACTACAAAAACTTGAAGGTTATGGTTTTCGCGGTCGTGCGCTGACACTTTTGAGTTCATACTTAAAACATAGACGCCAATATGTGCATTTAAGTGTTTTTTCTTCTTTAGTCAAACCAAGCGCTTCCGGTGTTCCCCACGGTGGTATATTGGGTCCGCCCATATTCAACATATATGCGAATGATATAGTTAACATAGATAAAGAAGCTAAACGTGTTATGTATGCCGACGATACAAGCTTATTTTTTTCTGCCGACGAGCCAAACTACTAATCAGTGTTGCAAATAAAACATTATCAAAATTAAGTTCATAGGTAAATGAAAACTCGCTAAAAATTAACACAAGCAAAACGAAAGCCATTATATTTCGTCCTAAAAATAAACAACTCGTACAACACTAGTCTTATCTTAAATGCGTCACCTATTGAAATTGTGTGTTCTTTAAGAACACTTGGCGTTATTTTTTTCTGAAAGCATGTTGTGGGGCTGCCACGTAACTCACGTTATCAGTAAGTTATCTTGCATCGTCGGGTTGGTTAATCGTAATCGCTCTGTCTTGCCAATTTATATACGACTACTTATATACAGCTCCCTTTTCAACTCATAATTAGGTTATTGTCACTTCGTATGGGGCATGACCACGTCAACAAATTAGGTAAGACATTTTACTTTAAAAGAAAATTATCAAAATTATATATAATGCTCCGTATGACTCTCATACTGCCGATTTGTCTGCGCTTTGCAATTATTACTGCACATAATTTATATAATTACAGGTTGAGCGTTACTTAAAAAAAAAAGGAATTCTCGCTTTGTAGCTGAACTTTCAGCACTGACCAAAAATATTCAGATGTATCCTACTCGTCACACTGAGTATTGGAAGATGATCCCTCACAGAACAAATTATGGTAAACAAATGCTCAAACACACCCTACCGTTTTTACTCAACAGCCTCACAAGTAATGATTCGGACCTTAGCTACATAAATGTGACATTTGTACAGTCCATGCTAAAAATGAAATCATGAATGACTGCTGAGCCACTGTATTTCATTCTTTATTTCCCTTCTCTGTTTTGTAACTTAATTGTTGTTCTTGCTGCCGTCTGTTTTGCCACTGTAGGGGGCCGGAGCCTCACCAAGCTGTTCCTTTGCAGCTTTTTTCTCCGGCCTCCCCTTCATCATTCATGAGAAATAAAACTATTGTTATTAATATTATTAAATTCCATAAGTAAGGCGACGGCCCTTTTTCGGAATGGGCTGAATCCGCCGACCATGCTGAAGTCACAGTGCCGACAATGAGGCGATTAACGCGTAGGCGAACTACGCCAAAGTGTAAGTGATTAAGTCTGTTGCTTCTTTTCTCCGTTACTGCTTTCTTTTTTTGCTTTGGTATATCGAATATTCTGCGTGCGTTTAATCTCTTTTCCAACTTGTATTCTTGCGCGTTTAATGAGTGCGTCAAATAATGTTAGAATGACCGAATGTTAGAATTAACAATATACAACGCTTTTCTTTTCGCTTGTTTATGCATTTTGTGTAGTATGTGAGTGTAAGGGGTACCTGAAAGAGATCATTATTTTGCTGAACGTCTTACTCCAATGTTTAATCACGACTCCAAGGCGCCTAGATTCCTCAGGAAAAGTTTACTATCTGTGCGACGTCATGGGACCTTTCGTTTACGTGTTAGCGGACCAGTGAGTTTGAGAGCCACGCCCCGGGTCAGCTTCAGGTGTGAGAGACGAGCTTCAACATCCGCCCGGAGGAAGGCAACCTGAGGGATCAATTTACTGACGGTGACGTCGGGGGCTGGTGAGCCGCCGGGTTCAGAAAAACAAACAAAAAGCATTGTGGTGCAAGCGCACGCGGATGCCTTTAGGCCCCCGAAAGTTTCTCTCCCTGTCATCCTGTACTAGGCCTCCTTAATTGTATAATCACCATAACCGCATGAATGAAAAGAGTTCTGTCGTATTAATAGATTGACTTGTATTTATTCGTTGCACAAGAAGAGAAGGAGTTCATAACGCCTGCATTTAAAGAAAACAGACAGATTTCCAGTGAAGCAAAGGCATTAGATTAGGTGATGAAAGAGTCGGCCATAGCAAATGCATGCTCTTTCATTTCGTAAATTACTAACGCGAAGCTCACTCACCGGTGACCAAGGAGTACCAGTTAGGATAGGAGATGGCTGGTGTAACAGGGGTAAGGTGGTCGGCCCTTACTCCTAACATTCCAGTTGTCCAGAATCCGTGGTGTCTTCTTTCATCGGTGTAGTCCCAACGCAGTCCATCCACCAGGAAGAGCAGGACTTTCGGTTGGCGTTTTCTAGCCCCCTCGACTCCGTTCCATGCTGCCAGTATGGCAAGACAGCAGATGGTTCCGAATTTTTTCATGTCAGGATGAATGGCTTCGGTAGGATTTCAATGTACGAAAAGAACGCTCTTCCGAGTTTCGAGGCACGAGCTTACCGCCACTCGACAGCTATGTGCTTTGTCTGCCGCGCGACCAAATAAATTCATTTTTTGTGGAGAGATAAATAGGCTGAGATAGTCACTGTTAAGCTTCGGATTTCCAAAGCTTGGTGATGTTTTCCCATCTCGCAACCGGATCTACGTGAAGATTTCTGCATTGTTTCGCAAGAGGAAACTAAAACCATCGGTTGCGACGGGTGTTTTCTGTAATCGTCATACTGTTTTGTTACGTTCCGGTGTTCAGATATGTTTTTGTGTGGACTGCCCGCTTATTTTGCTCACTATGTTCGAGTACTTGTGGAACGCATTTGTGCCACCTAGGAAATATAATCAACGTCTGTTTTAGTGGCATTGATAATTAGATTGCGTATATATTGTGCAGCTTCGATTTTATTACCATCACTTACAATATTTTATATGTTTAGACTTTCTTGTTTGGCTTCAAAAATATAATTCTAATACATATGCTCGTACAATGGGAGCTTGCTGTTCGATCAATATAGAGATTCTTCGCTGGAGACCATAGTTTGTGCGCTGTTAAGCACGCGCAGGCAGCGAGCGACCGCCAGATTACTTCGCCGAATCGTTGCGCACGTCCAGTGTGCATGCGATACAAGAGGTATCAGATGCACAACTGGAATGAGAAAACAGCAAGCGGCGGGCGCGTGCGGCATGTACCGTGTTCGCTTTCCGCAAAACACATGTGTTCTTACAGCGGCGTATCTGTGACGGCAAATATTTTGCCAGAAACGTGTCAGGTGGCATACTATGTCATGAGGAGGCGTTTAGAGAGGACTCTGTGTTGTGGTAAGGAAGGTTAACTTCAAATATTGTTTTCTCAAGTGAGCAAACAAACAAATACATTGGATAAGTTTCCTGAAAACAAGGCGAAACATTCCTCTGCCCAACTCGACGTCTTTTTTATCCCTACTTAAAATATCTCCGGTTGATTAAACGGCCGTTAAAAGGGCGGTGCATCTCTATTCGCTTGGAATGTGTTTCACTTTACGCAAGCTTACTGGCACTAGTGGGACCCAAGTATAGTCGCACGCAACGCCACTGAACAAGAAACTCCTTTGTTGTGGTGTAATTTCAAGGACAAAGTCGAGCGTTTTCTTTATATCTCTTTCTCAAAACTTCATGACATAGCGTGGAGGGCGCGAACTATCTACCAGTGAGAGCATTTGAATGCGGCTCATAGATCGGACGCGAGCACTGCCTGAGCGCTCGATTTGGGCTCGTGATCATCAATAGTTCGACAATTGCATTCGGGTAGTGGCCCGTTTCATTGCCCGTGTACAGTCGCTACAATGACGACACTAGCCAAGCCCTAACAATGTGTTAGGGCTTGGCTAGTGTCTCAGGGCGTGCTCTGTGCTTTGCCAACCCCAGCGCGTGGCTATTATTAACATTGGCGGCATTTAGTCGGCTCCAGATAGCGTGGCCCGTGGTTCTGGATGCAAGTTGAGGGGGTCAACGCTGCTCCTTATTCTTTAATTTTATTCTCTGAACTTTATTGCGTGTGGTGAAAAAGGAACGCGCGTTATATAGGTGATTAACGTCAGGGATTCGTTCTAAACAGTATTTTGCACAAAGTAAAAAAAAAAGCGTTACATCGCCTCTTTAAGGGGGAGGAGGAGGGGGAGAGGGGTTACCGGCTCGTCACTCAGTCGGTAAATTTTGCTACATAAACCTGAGTTTCGGGCGTCCACGAGGGTATTGTTTCTTTCGGAGGTTCATTAAGAAGACGTAGTGAATGTCGAAGAGCACATGAATTTTCGCTTGAGGGGGCGGGAGATTATAAATGAAATCCAGAATTATAATTGTGGAGCTGTTTTCAGCGCATTTCGGGGCAATTTTAACTGTAATCATAATTAGAAGATTAATGTGACGAATTCAATGACTGTACGTACAAGAGGTGACTCCTATATCGTTTTGAGACCCTGATGGGAAGAGGAAATATCGTGACACATTCGCGTTTGTGTAAATAACTTTGACAGGACAGTACATCCGCTATGGATTCATGTTGAACGAGTTCATTCAGATGCCGATGCCAGCGCCAAAAGCCCCAAGCCCAAGGAGGTTTCAATGGGCAGGTGGTTGCGTCCATGTTCTTCATATATGGAGAGTAATGTAAACGGACTAGGTGTGGCCACGAAATGTCGCCTTAATCTTTCGGCAAATAAGACCATCCTGTTCTTTTTTTTTTTTTTTTGTACTGATCTTTCTATTTTTTATTACAGTCTCGAATAATTTTCAATATTATCAGGAAGCTTATCACAAACTGTTCAGAAAATGAACGCCGCCATGTAGATACGGGGAAGACAACAGCGTTGCTTTGGCAATATCGTTGTAACTTGGTCGAGGCGCGACCATAGGCGTGACCAGGAAATGTTTCCTCGGTCCCTTGGCTAATTAAACAATCTATTATTTTTTATCGACTAAGTTTATCGTCATTTACTGCAGTCTTCTTAATTTTGGTTGCGCGAATCAACTCAGTTAATGAACGCCGCCATGTAAATATGGAAAAACAACCACGTTGCCATGGCATTGCCTTGGCAACGCGATTGTTTGCCCCATATTTACATGGTGGCGTCAACTGAATCGGTGTCGAACAGTTGAGATTTGGAGCCCAACACTTGCCTGACAAGTAGAAGGTCGGCGTGGGGCGGACACTCTCGAAGCCGCTTCATGAGCGTCGTCCAGAGCGGGTCGCCATAGCGCTTCTTGGGAAGGCGAGCATATCAGGCGTTGTAGGCATGGACGGTGAGTAGAAGCCCTGCTTCTATAAGTCGTTCGTTTTTTTCAGCAGTCATGAGAATGTGCGTGCTTATCAAAACTTTTTTGGTGCGCCGGTCGTATCGAAATCCATCCGCGACAGCGGTCAGACAAAGCAGACCTTCAAACTTACCTGTTTTTGACGGATATCTTTTATGAACATCAAACATATTTATTGGCATCTAATAACATTTATTGTATGGAATAGATATAACTTGCGATGTATTAGATTTTCACAATGATTTTGCTTTGGTTTTATGATAGTTGTAGAACTCAGTTAATTCTTAAAACAATTAAAACCTGTTTGGGAGTTTTGTTGCGCTACCTGCCGGATGGCAGACAAAACTGCTGATTTCTAATGTTCAAGAAATTTTCGAGGGCGGCGTTGCGTCTGTATCATCATCAATGTCCGTGTCTTTTTACCTTCACATTTAGAAAATATGTGTGAAGATTTACTATCGGCAAATGAATGATTTAAGTACTGGGTCATGTTAATAAATCTGAGATGAATAATTACAGACGCCTAGTGTGATATCATGTGTTCATAATTCAATATGATTGAAATCGATAAACAATAAAGACGGAAAGGGAAAAAATACACCCGAGTTCACTTCGTGCCTAGAGTCACTACATGAGCTGCGCTTAGAGTATCGGAACTCCGTTCCCCAACATTGTTTTGGGCGCCGCCATTTTGGGTCTTGTGCAGAACAAACGCACCTGCCGATCGTTATGATTGAAAAGTGCGACTTCCTCAGCATTAGATCCGGTGTCAGGAAGCTGAGGCGACATTGCTTTGCTCTGTTGCAGACTGTTTTAACATTTGTGAAGGACGGAAAAGCCTTTTTTTGTGATTTCAGATAAAGCTTCAGATAACTAGCAACCATAATTTTAAGCCACAATATGCTCAGGTTTCGTTACTCTGAAGCGTAGCTTATTTAATGACACTGTTCATGCCCTTGTTCAAGAAGCTTGTAATACCTGAAGGTGTAAGCCCCGTGGGTTTCACAGGCCACTACCTTTTGACGCCTGACTCTTCCTCATTGATCCCGCTAGTGCCACTAAATTAGCTACGTTTCAGAGTAGCGACACTTGGCAAAATTGAGGCTTAAAATCAAGGTTGCCATTTATCTGAAGCGTTATCTGAAATCACAGGAAACGCTTTTTCGTCCTCCACAAATGTTTAAACCGTTCGCGACAATGGAAACCAATTTTACATGAGCCTGCTAACACCAAATATAATGCTGAGGTGATTCATGACGATCGGCAGTTGCGTCTGCTCTGCACAAGCACCAAGTTGGCGGCACCCACAACGATGTAGGGGAACGGAGTGCCGATACTCTAAGCGCAGCTCATTTAGCGGTTCTAGTTCCCGCGAACCTCCTTTCCCCCGTCAGATCAAAGTCAAATCGGACGTTTTAGTGATTTATACAGCGTAAGGTCGGTCTGCCAGTAGGGGCGACACTGGTTTACACTGTAGATGAGAAATTTCGCCAGTGCAGTACGGCTGCTAATATGGGGGCCTTTAACGTGCTCACGCGGTAGTGATACACGACCGCACGCCGGTACGATGCTCGTCCAGATTGAAACGGGCAGGGGTGGGGCTCGAGCCCAGGAACCCTGGGTTCTGCAGCGCGAGCTTTCGCTCCACGCGCGTCGAGCTGGGTGTGCGCTCTAGCCCACTCCGCCACCGATCCCCCCTTCCCCTTTTCCCCTGACTGAAACTAAAACTAAATATGAATAATGCATCAATATTATAGCTTATTTTGTTATAGCCAAATACATATGATGAGAGGAGGAAGCGGCCGGGTAGCAAAAATGCGGGTTTTATGAGTGACCGTTCTGACCGTTTCTGAAGAGAAAATGTCAGCTTGCGCTGGTTCCAAAGAGACGATCCAAACAAAAGAGGCAGCACGCTGTGTTCTTTGTGATTGTGCGTCTAATTGCAAATTGTCGTGTGTATGTTTATACAGCCGAGAGTTAGTCTGCCTTAGTGGGCGTCTGGTGTCTCAGCTGTAGATGAGCAACTTAGCCAGTGCGGTACAACTGCAAACTTGGGGTCTTTAACGTGCACCACGCAGATAGTGATACGCAATCGCGCGCCGGTACGATGCTCTTCCAGATCGAAAAGGGCAGGGGCGGGATGG